TCAGGGCCAATACAGTCCAGTTACCTAGGGCTGATTTTGACCCACGGGCTGAAATGATTCCCAGCGTGGGCTGGATGGAATAGGCCTTTGATGGAGCTGTTTTGGCTTAAATTTTGCTCAAATGGCTCTAGGAGAGGCTGAATCAGACTTTGGGATTGGCACTTTGGGGCTGAAATTTTCAATGTAGCGGCAAAGTTATGTCTAAAACAGATACATTTTGTGACCCTCCTAGAACGAACCACGAATTTGCTGGCTTTTTTGGTGCAAATTTTCATGCTGGGGGACCTAGTGGCAGCACGTCGGCAGGAAGACGGCATCATCTTCGTGGGAATAATATATAGGTAGCAACTTTCTCCCACGAACATACCCTCGTCCCGACTATGTGCCCCCCAGGGTCCCCAACCCAAGGATGACAACTTAAGGAATTTTAAGGGCAAATTTTAGAAAAAATAAAGGCTTCTTAGTTGCGAAAAAAATTAGAAATAAAGAATTGTTAGTTCCGAGATGTATGACTTGAAAAATCGAACTGAAGGTTTCAAGTAATATATTTTCGAAATCCATATCAGCTGTTGCTTTTGTATCGTACTATCAATTCTTTTACAGACAGAGCTTTCTTAAACTGTATCGGAGGACACTAAGGAACGTACTGGTGATTCTAGCTTGCGAAAAACAAGCCAAAATATGTGATTGAGCAAATTTCTTTACACGGGCTATGATAACAGATTCCAAACATTTCCTGAAAAGTCTTGATGTTTAAATTTAGAGTAACGTAAGTTAGTAAGGTGAATTTAGTTTCCGCCTAAATTGACGCGTTGATAGACTTGTACTTTCCAGACGGGGATACAAGTCAGAAAATGACCTTGTGAGAAGGAAGAAAGATGTTTTCATCAAGTTAATTAAACACATTCACTTTAAAGACCAGTATATTAAATACGTGCGAGTTTTATGATCTAATCAATCCGGTCTATTTTTACCTTACTTTGCCAAAAAAAGCAAAGGTCATCCATACAAACCCTCAAAAATCATGTCCCCCTCAAAGGCTCTTTTCCATTGATGAAATGAAACTCAAACCGGCCAAACTGAGGACCCCTTTGCATTTCTTTTTTTCCTATTAGCGCGTTTAAGTTTAGAAAGAGGCCGATAGAAGCTCTTAAGGAGGCCTGTATGTCGACCGAGGAGTGCTCGCGATCATAGATGATAACATGGACGAGTTCGCCATCTAATCGGTAACTAGTAAAAACACTCACAATAGAACCAGAGAACCCATTTTTTAAAAAGCGCTTTCCCAGCCATTTTTTATCGTTAGTTTCCTCTTTCTTTATTAAGACATGATCTCATATCAATGTCACAAAAAACAAAATAGGAAGTGAGTGAGCATCACACATGCCGAGGGCTCATTCACGGAAGCCTTTGTGTTGAGTAAGGGAAAAGCCGAAAGCTACAGACACCGCCTCTACATCGATCGCGACGTTTATAGTCTATTCTGACCGTCAGTCGTGGCACAGTCAAAGCCGCCGAAATCCTGAAAAACTACATGTTTAAAACATAAAAACCGAGCCCAGAGTTCTCATTTAGTTTTTACGTTAAAGTAGAAAACTAATATGTGAAAGTAGGCAATTTGGTAATTTAATGCTGTAGACTATTTCAGGCTTTCACTTTTACCTTTTCACTTCTACTCCTAGTTTTTCCCCTAAAAAGTAGGGAGATAAAACCTCAAAGTAGCCGGTTTTTTAGCCGGTTGCCGGCACTTAAAGTGAACCCTGCCGGAGCTAAGCTAATTTTATCAACATTTGGACCAATTTAAAAGAACGGATATATAAAGGGATTCTTGTGTTTTCTCAGTTAAAATAGATCCTGAAAGCAATGTTTGGAGACTAGCATCTCAGTGCTGTCTGTCTAGCCGAAATACGTAAGCTTGTTACGAAAATAAGATTTAAGATGTTTTAGTCTCAAAATATGTACGTCTTTTTAACGTTTCGGTTTCTTGTTTTACAAGTAATTCAATTTATAAACACCTTGCGTCACGAGCAGAACTTGCAAGAGACACTTAACCTCGTTGTTTTCTTCATGAGCTTGTCTTAATCCTCGGAATCAAGGTCTAGACTGCAGAAAATATCTCATTTGTATTCAGGTCCGGTCCGTCCAAAAACGTGGCTCAATTTCAGCGAAGAGAGTGACTCGAGATAAGACTAAAACTTGTGTATCGACGGGTTTTGTGCCTTCGATTTTAGCTGTAAGCTGGCTCCAATGGAGCGTGATGAGTTGTGCACTTTGATTTCTTGCCCGTTTTAAGCCCTTTTTCTGGTAGGGCCTTTACATGTTCAAAGTCTACTTCGGTTTGAAGGGAGCCTACAAAACAATCTTCCTTTACTAAAACCTTCAACTATTCAGGATAAATTTTGTCGAACACAGTCCTTTATCAATAGCACCCAATAAAATCTGGCAATAAGGACACTTTTTTGCACGCCAAAGCATAATGCTGCAATTAAAACTTGTTCAAACTTAACTCAGAGCATGTACGAAACTGAAAACGCCCACTTTGAGAAGGTCATTTGATTAAACAGTAAACACTTAAGTTAAATGATATTTTTGAATTCCTTCCAACTTGAATCTCATTTACGCAGACAGTAAGAGACTATACATGGCTAATATAAATCACATCACCTGAAAATAAGTATGCTTAATCCCTTTCTTGAAATTTAAAGAAATGACAGAAGTTGGGCAGACGCAAAGGCGAGAAATGCCGGATTTCCTGAGAGTAATTTGCTCTTCTGCAAATCCTTTTTCTAACTGATCCGTTAAGGTGGTTTGTGGTTTGCGAGCGTTGGCAAGAGATGCGCTTGTATTTACATGATAAATTCCTGAGAAATAAAATGGAAACTCGTTTCCTTTCTCTTTTTAATAAACTGCGACGGATCACATTGTTGTATGGTTCTTTTTTCATTAAATTGAAACTTTTTTCTTAAGCCCTGTTTTGCCATTGCTATCAATCAAAAGCGACTCCAAACACTTCAGCTCTTATGAACACAGGCAGCCCAAGCACACTACAGGAACGCGGACGTGACTCTTGCTTGCGAGCGGTGTTGTGTTACTATCGGTTATTTGCAAAGGCTTGTGTGGGATGTAAACGGTTTTTCTTAAAAGCGAGAAAAAATGTTATGTTTTTAAATAAAATCGACTTACCTCACTGTCTTGTTGTATTTATGTTGTTTGCCCGCGTCTCAGGCCGTTCTGAAGCGTTTTCCGCGAGTTAGCGCTATGTTGGTGTTCCACTGCTGCAAAACGGCCTAAGACGCGGGCAACAAAGAATACAACAAGGCAATAAGGTAAGTTGATTTTATTTAAAAACATAACATTTGTTCTCGCTTTTAAGAAAAACCGTTTACATCCCATAGAAGGCTCAGCCAAGGCCTTTGTAAATGACCGTTTGTAACACAACACCGTTCGCAAACAAGAGTCACGTCCGCGTTCCTGTAGTGAGCTTGGGTCGCCTGTGTTATGAAGTATTGTAAGGTTTCCATGAAAACATTTTCTTAACCTAAAGATGTTTACTGTCTCTTCTAAATGCATTAATTTTTGCTTTGACTTAAATTTTGAAACTGTACTCTAACTCGTTTATGAATGGCGTGCTTATTTCTACACTGTCGCCAACCAAATGTAAACATAATGTTTTTGGGAATAATACAGTGTAGTAACACTGGCGTACACCTAACCACAGGCGACAAGTTGCTTTAAACTTAATTTTTCTTTGTTAGAAAGATTTAATAGAGCCGAAACCAACTGTGGAATAGCACGCATTTTAGGTATCCTAACATAGCACCGATGCTGTACATAGATATTTGCAAGAGCGACGATTATCAAAAGTTTATCCCTTTGGAATTGAGATGGCATGTTACCAAAGAGCTGTAAACTGACTGATAATTACGCTTTAAAGGGTCTACTACGTCATACTATTCGCTCTTTTTAAAAAGCTAAAACGTATCTTTGCATCAACTGAATTCCAAAAGTAATGATCCAGTTTTGTTGTTTAATGGAATTTGTTTCATATTTTTTTCAAAACTCTACCGAGGGATTTTGGGTGTGGATGAAGGCACTGAGTTATGACTTCAGCAGAGATTTGATCTAAAACAGCAATTTCCTCTTGACATAATCCCTTTAAGCAAATTTTTTGGGCCCAGAGGCGAGCCCTGTCACATTATGCCACCATTCTTTAGTACCTTACACAAGGTGGCAAGGAAAAAAATGAACTGAAATCGATGAAAATTGCTAATCTCTATCTCCCTTCTCAAAGTAGTTTCCTTTAATCCATGACTTTATCACTTTTATCAGGGTTTAGTCATCATCATTCATAAAATAAGCTGGGCCACAAGTTTATCTCTATTGGATTATCATTCAAGAATGCAATATTTCCGGTGATTAGCTCTAATCTGTGCAGTTTAACTTTATAACAGCAGAGATAGACTGATCCGCCTTAATGTAAGTATGAAGAGTGATTGATTAACTCGCCAGTGTGGTTATATTGGATATCGTACCTTTTCCAACGTAATCAAAGACCATAGAGAAATAGCTAGACGCTCCGTAGTGAATTTCCAGACTCTCAACAAGGGGTGCTTTCCATTATGCCAAAATTTCCGGAAATTTCGGTTGAAACATAATGCAACGTTTTTGCGCAGGTGGAAAGTTTTCGGATAAAGCTGCTACCTCAGCCGAAAACTTGCCGTTCCATTTTCAAACATTCTCTGAGAAGTAATAGAAATTTCGGTCGAAACATAAATGCAACGCTTTTGTCCCGATGGAAATTTTTTCTTTCGAGCAATGTCGTTTCATTTCCCTTGGTTACTACAATCCTGGCGGTGGCCAAAGGTCTTGGGACACTTCTTTTTCTCTCCAACTTTTGCAAAGGAATTTGCGCGACGACAATTCACGCTTGTAAATACGGTTTTGCCTAGGTTTGGGTTTTAGGGGCGGCCAGAAGTCCTAGAAAACAAAACAGGCATTTTGCATTTCTTCAGCCTCTGTTTTATTATACTGAATACAACCCAACATGAATATTCCAATACAAGCCTGTAGTTAAAACAAAGTGCTATTTACAGTTTCGAGAATCTGTACCAGTTCTAATCTAATACAAGGGCACATGATCTATACTCCTTCGGTAATAACCGTTTTTAGAGGAGCTTAACATATATCGTGTTTCATGAACAACCGTGCAAAGGGCACGAAAACTGCTGACATACCTTTCCCGGCGAACATCTTACATTGCAGAAAGAATCCTACCAAATTATACCATTTATGAGCCTTAATATACCAATAAGTGGCAGGTCTTCTGCGTTATCTTACAATACAGAACGTAAGGATAACGGGCGAAAGTTGCATGTTAGAGTGCAAGTTGAACTTGGCAAACGTTGCTGCTTAAATTCAGAATCAAACATAACGTAAGCAATACGCTTCTGTTTCATCAAAGCCGAAAACGGAAGTATCGCTTTCCCTACTCTTCGTCAAAATCGCTATCAGAAATCGACCAGTCTTTAGTGTCATCATTTTCCTTATCGTCAACGTCGTCATCGCTGTCATCAAAGTATTTCACTGTTGCCTTGGCCCTTCCAGCGCGTGGAGCGCGGGCTCGAACAGCGGCAGTTTCCAGCGGTTCGTCGTCACTGAAGGAGCTGTCTCGGCTGGTTTTGGACTTTTTTGGTGGAGACTTCTGAACCTGTGATAATGAGAAAACGGAGAAAAAAAAACCACAATTAGCAGTCTGTAGAATGAGCTGAGGCAGCAATAAATCAATAAATAAATGGTAAACCCTCAGCTGGCCAGCGCCTCATCTGAAAAAACACTGCTTGTGTACCCTGAATTGAGGTAAGGAGTTTTAAAAAATTGAACAGTGACCCTTACGCCTATCCGCTAAAACAGTGCCCGAGGGAGGGAAGCTAAAAAATGGTGCGAGGAGCTGTGTCACGCTGTCTAGTTCTTTTTGTTTAAAATGCCAGTTACGTGTCCTTATTCGCTATGAAACCTGAGAAATTACCTGCGAACGACAAAATCATCTCCAAAGCATCATATCACTCGTTACAAACAACAAAAATGAACTTTGAAAAACTGTTAGGTGAACAAGTTTTCAAAACCACAATTGCAATCCATTTCAATCTTCTTCAAGTTTATCCATCCGTGCTTCTTCCTTCTGTAATAGCCGTGTCACTTATACCTTCTTCTAACTTTTTGAGCTGTTATTTTATGTTTCCCTCAATTTGGTGGCGGTTTCTAATGTTTGAATTTTGATAAATTTGGTGACACAGCCCTATTAAACCATTTGCCGTGGACTGTAGTAAAGGGTGTCTGGGTACCAGTACCTTGGATATCTTTGTTTTCTTAACGGCTGCTGGTTTCTTGGAGACTGAATCGGAATCTTCGTCGCTACTACTGATCACCGCGGCCGCCTTCGCCCGTTTTCCTTTCTTGGCTGCCTCTTTAGTTGGTGGTGCTTCGGCAGCCTTGGCCTTAGTCGGCTTCTTTGTTGCTTCTTTTGCCTGTAAAGTTAGAAATAGGGGAATGGATAACAATCAGACGTGTGAATGAAAACAACAGAGCTGCAAATAATAAATTTTATATTTCTTGAAAGGACACACGTCCAGCTATTCTGCTTAGTCAGACAAAACAAAAATATCAAGGGCGTGTCATGCTTTTACAACTACCGGAAGAAAACGAAAGGCAGAGGTAAGCAAACTTATTAGTTCTCTTCTGAGAGTTTTTTCTCAAGGTACTTCGGTTTCCTCTCCTCAATACCAAACACTCCAAATTTCAACTCCACATGTAATAGGAATGCCACTAGACGTTGTGCACTGTCAGGACCACAAAAACATATAACATAGGAATCTGACGGGCTTCATAAAAAATCCACTCCATTAACTATGATCTAAGTCAATTATTTAATGAATAGGTCTGACCTTTTGGGTGGGCTTTGAAGGTTTTGCAGGTGATAGCTTCTCGATCAAAGCCCGTGTAGCCCGTACATCACTTTTGTCGGATTCTGCGTCGCTGTTCGCGCTATCCGCGCTTGGTTTCGTTGAACTTTTAGACGAGGCAACCGATATGACATCATCGTCTTCATCGGAGCTTGCTGAGAAGGCCTAAAAACAATGTAACAGGCATCAGGACCAGGGAAAACGAAAGTGTCATCTTAAAAAGCTCGGGTTTTGTAAAAAGCAATCGTATTAATTACTCACTTTTTTTGCAGCGGCTGCTCGAGCTGTTCTCTTCACGGCAGGTGCAGAGATTTCTTCCTCGTCCTCCTCACTAAATTCCATGATCAAATCATCATCACTGTCGTCCGCTGCCTTTTGTGCTCTTTTTTTAGGAGCCTTCTTACTGCCGAACCTCTCTAAAGTTGCCTGCTTCTTGGCTTTAGAACTTGATTCTGTTGCAGACGAAGATGACGATGAACTGAGAGGTTTCTGACGCTTCGCCAGTCTAGCTGCCAAAGACATAGGAGCTGCCGTCTCGCCCTCGTCAAACTCGAATGAGTCATCACTCTTTTCTGATGTTTTCGCGTCTGTTTTCTTTCCTTTCCCAACCTTGGCCTGGGCTTTCTTACTTTCTTTGTTCTCGGCGACGACAACCGGCTTCTTTGGCTCCGCCTTTGGCTTGCTGTCTGTTTTCTTTGCTTGCTTTGAAGGTTTCTTTTTCTGCTGCGCTGAACGTCCACCTTTGGGTTTCACGCACATTTCTTCATCGTCTCTTTCTTGCTGCTCAACTCGCTTTAAATAGACACACAGATAACAAACACAAAATTATATTTCAAAAGCAGTAGTGGTTGTAAATGGTTCAAAAAGGTTGCGTTAACACAGGTTACAAACCTCAAGCTCATCCACGAATTGATCAAGGTCTTCAAGCCAAAGCATTTGAGGTGACTTGCCGCGCAAAACCTCTAGCTCTTCCGCCTATGCAATAACAACGTGGATATCAGAGACATGAGTTAAAAACGAATTAAAAGATGTCAGAATACTTGTGAAATATCATGTCACGTTTTAATAATAATATAAATGATGATGATGATGACACTAATAAAATGAAAATATTTCCAATTCTGACAGCAAAGTTAAGAACTGCAATAGAAATTACCCGAACGCCCAAATCGACACAACCGAAACAAAAATGAACCCTCTATCTGTGGAGGGCAGACTGTGAGGGAATTATAAGCTCTTAAACAAACCTTGTTATCTCTTTCTTTCAACAGTTCTTCTTTCTTCTCTCTGGAAAGCGACAGCAGTGACATGGACAATAAATAATTAAAGTCAGGACCGCCTGCGCCAGAAGCAGAACTCGCCACGCTAGAAGAGTCATCACTGGTATCGTCGTCTGCCTCCGCGGCGGTACTTGACTTCTGAATGTCTTTCCACGCTTTGACTGGATCTGATGGATAGCCACGCTGAACAAGGGTAGTGATGACATCACGCTTAGCTCTGTTTTCTGTATTGCAACAAACAAGATATAAGCGTTGTTTCACCGGGCATAAAGGACTTCTGTATATAAGAGCCGGTAGCCGGCGAAGTTCGCCGGCTACTTTCATAATTACTTCAAGAGTCAAGATATGGTGACGAGATGATGTGTATCCGCTCTAAAAATATAAATTTGCAGTGCCTATCGTTAGCTCCAGCAAAACCACCATAAAGATACAAAAAAATATCATTCCACTATTTCTTTGCGCGGTTGTATTATTGAAATTTCGCTTTGTCTTTCTTTCAGTAATATGATTTTCACGGTATAATTGCAGCTTAATTTATCTCTCTGATGTCAAAGTTTCAAGGCCCAAAATGCCAGGATGCGTTTCCCAGCGTTCAGTTTTCAAAAATTTTCCGGGGGAGCAGGCCCCCGGACCCCCTAGAAATGATGGGCTTTAACCCATCATATGGCTCCTCCAGACCCACAAACATCTACTTTTCAAAAAACTCCAGCTACTTAAAACCTTAAAGAAAGCCCTGGACCTTACGAAACTACGACGGTGACGGCGACGGGAACGTCAGAGAAGGCAATGGGTTTAACAAGCGAAACAACAACTCTGCACGTGCATCACTCTTTTTTGCAAATTTCCTTACCATCACTGCACGACCAGGACGTGAAATGACAGACCAAATTTTAAGTTTACTTGAGAACGGGAACGGCAAGGTGATAAATTGTACCGTCTCTTTCTTAACGCGGTCCCCTCCCTTCAGCTCCAACCTAATCTCCGTCCTTTAAAGTATCTGGGCGACTTGGAACAATCGGGAAAAAAAACGTGGAAGACAATATTTCTACTGCGCCGTGCGCTGTTACAAGACTATTTTTAGGAGTTGTCTTGGAGAAATATCCCTAGAAATAAATATGTCTCAACCTATTTAGTAATGGCAGTGATGGTCGTGGCATCCGTGATTCTACTTTGCATAACGCGTTCGGCTACGAAAACGTCTTGGCGAGCTTTTTTTATTTCCAGGCCAGGGTGTTCGCTGTAACACTTATTCCTAGGCAAAAATTGCAAGACAAGTCACAACAGAAATTGGCCCATACTGACGACGCCTTTAATAAGCTCCACGTGGCTGGACACAGAAATAAAGAGAATAAAGCAACGCACATCAAATGGCAGAGAAGACTATACGGTTGCTACGTGCTAAGCATCCAACAACAATAGATAAATAATGTCATTAATGAAGATGTTGGGTTCTTCTCTCACCAATGATGATATGGCCCTCGATTTTTTCCAAAATGAACCGAGCTTGACTGTTCAATTTTTCTGATTCCGCTGCCAGCATTCCTTCAAGCCACGCTTTCCGAATGACATATCTCTCCAGACGAAGCTCAAAAAATTCCTTCAGAATGTCCAGCGGTGAATCGAACTTACGAAGGCAGCCCATGGAATCAAATAGTACCTAAAATAATTTAAGTTCGTTAGGAAGATTTAAATTCTTACTACCTTTTTGGTACATAATTTCCCGGGTCTTAAAATTCGCTCTTTTCGCGACTGTAAAAAAATCGTGAAATTAAAGGCCCGCGAATAAAACTCCTCGCGAAATTTAATATCAAAATAGAAAATTCAAATCAGGGCGGAAAAAAAAAAGGTCAATACTGTAAAAACAAGAATATATACAGTATATGTATCGACAAATCATGATTTTACGGGTAAATTAAATTTTGTTATACCTTCTACTGTGAAGTAACGTTGATTTGCAAAGATTTCACAAATAGAGTAGAGAAGAGAAATTATCTAGCCATCTTTTAACTGAATCGCTAGATTCGTAAAAAAAAGTACATATGCGTTTTGCTTGTTCCAGTGTATCTTGAACTTTTCAAAACTTCAGTGAAGTTGAGAACGCTTGAATCGCGAATTTTAATGCTTTTTTTTTCATATCTTCCAATTTGAATCGCGAAAATAATACCCTGCGAAATACTGTCTCGCAAAAATCGCGAAATGAAGTAGCCGCGACATTAAGTACCAATAGGGTATTTGGGCATAATCATGCTATAACAAAGTTAACCAAATTAGAGAATTTAACAAAGTGAACATCTAGATTGTAAGCAACTACCTTGAGTTTGTACAAAGTCTCTTAAATTTTAAACTTCGCGATTTTGAAAAAAAAAAAAGACAAACAAACAAAAACAAAAAACTGAAAAAAGAAATACACAACTCGCGAAAATTTCGTGAGAAAGACATGTTTAGTTGGCAATGTTTAAGCTTGTTGGAATCTGTGTTTTTCTAAGAGTTGAAATAAAACACTCTGCATATACATGTACTTTGCACTATTCTGAGAGCTATTTTGTTGGCAATGAATCTTGTTTTTCATATTGAGTATTTTACCTTAAGAACAGACTGTCAACCTCGGCTCTTTTTCAAACACTATAATTGTCAAAACTCCTTGTCTCGCCTAGAAACCTTACCATGTTGCTAGTGGAAATGGTGCTTTCAAGTTTAAACTTCTTGTGCAGTCCTGACTGTTCAGCCTCAGCGAGCTTGTCCTCTGTCATGCTGATTATAAACTTCACAGATGTGTCTGTGTAGTAATCCTTGTAATCACTAAAACATAGGTAACGAAAGGAATCTTGTCTAAGAATGGTTTGCTGGTGAAGAGTTATGACTGGCTGAAAAAAATCTCTTTTCACGTTCTCAGCCAATCAATATGCGTTTTTGACCAAGCGTGAGGTCAAATTAGCTGAATATTGACCAAGTTCTTATTTGCGATTTTATTAAACGCAAAAAAGAACGAGGCGAATATTCAGCCATCTTGAACGAACAAATATGATCAATAAAGTATTTATTATATGACTAACAAGTGAGCCTTTACTTGCGGGACCAACGCGGGAAATCCCGTGGAACGACGTTTAATAGAGGTTGTAACTGCAAGACGTCCAAATTTTCTTTCTCTTAGATAGGGATCTACATGGGTAATAATTCAATATTCCAGGGGAGTTTGGCTTCATTGGAAAAACTGAGTGAGGTAAGATAATGGCGATAAAGTTATGAAAAAAAACAAACAAAGAAAAAAAATAATAGAAAATACCCGCCATATCACATTAAGAGTAACGTTTTCGCCACAATCTTCGTACTTTTTTCAGCTTTTAAGACCAGCTGCTTTTTTTGGGTCAATGTCATACTTGATTTAAAAAATTTCTGACGTTGAAGCTTAAAGAGCACATTGAATTGGTGATTTTGTACCAGGACATATATTTCCTATGACTTTCCAGGCTTTTCCACGAGGGCACAAACCCTACCAATGACACTTTTTTGGTTTTACGTAATCGCTTTACCATAATCCGTGCAAAGACTCTTACTGTACAAATGCATCTAACTTCTTGCGAATTCCTACTTCCACACAACCTAAAGACTGCTGTAACGAGGGGATACAGCAGTACACACATAATTCCAAGATCATAAAAGCACCTGACATCTATAAATTATTACCGTCAAGCCAGGTCAAACGTACCCCCTCAGTGCTCGGGAATTTTTGGTACATCAAATGGAAAGGGCCATTTCGGTTTGGTCCGACCAGAATATTCGAGACCACCTTTAAAGGTGGTCCACTTTCGGTCGGTCGGACAGAAATGTCCCTTTCCATTTGACAAAATTGTTGTCTCCAGTACCGCTCTTTTGTATCCTGTTTACAAGAACAATAACCAAACGCGCGGTAGCTTGCGTCGGGTTTGAGCAACCGGAATGTACCGTTCCATTGGACACGTAACATTTCCGGAATTTCAAACCGGAATTTTTGCTAGCTCATGGATTTATTTTTCGAATAATCGATTCATTAAAGCTATCTTGGGGGTACGCTTGACCTGGCTTGATTGTAAAGTGATTCTAATAGTGTAGTCTGTTTATGAGTATCTTACGTTATAACAGGAGGCACTTTTTCTGTTCCGTGCAGCATTGGCTCCAACACATTCTCTTTGTAAGCTTGTGTCCAGGTTCCCACGGGCAGCTCAGTAATTTCTACAGTTTTGGTGTCAACAACCTCCACATTTCCACGGACAAGGTATTTCTGGGAATCGAGTTGAGTGATGGTGCCAATAAAGTTCTTGTAAGATGGAGCCTGAAACGGATGAGCAATGTTCGATATAAATTAAAACTGCGTACACATCACCTTCAAATAATCCGATCTTAACAATATACAGGATATTTTTAACATGAACCTAGTTAAGGGGGTGTTTTCGCATCAACTGAATTCAAAAATAAAAAAAATTGGGCCACTTTTTTTTTTAAAGTTTTAAGCCATGCCTGCAAAAATAACCCAAAAATAAATATGGCTAGTGTTCCCTGATGAAATTTGTTTGAAAATATTCTTCATAACTCTACAGGAGCATTCAGTGTAGGGGTCAAGGACACCGAAAAATGACTTCAGCACAGAAATGACCTAGAACAGCAATTTTAGAGTGGTTTTCGTTTGAGTGTCGTAAAACCAAAACCAAAGTAATTACTGTGGCCAATCACATAGGACACAGACAATACATTGAACCAATCAAAACTCGAAGTAATTACATGTGGCTGACGCAAAGCGCGACGTCACAATTGGCTTTGGTTTTACTTCTGATTGGATGAAAAGGTGGCGCGAATCTTTTAAGCCAATCGCATCGTGTAGAAAGTGCAAAACCAATTACTTTTCGACACTCAAATGAAAACCGCTCTATACTCGTGAGATAGGCCCTTTAATGGCCTCAGCCGCTCCAGTGAGTCTCCTGTTAGAGCTGAGCATCTGGACCGACCACTACCAAGAGGGTGGTCAGTAAGCGCCAATCATATTGGGAGTAGTCAGTACACGCATTTGTTCTTTTACAGTCGCCTGTGTCACTTACTGAGGAAACTTCACTCTCATAATTTTAGGTGTCGTTTAGTTTGCAACGAAAATTTAACTATTATTCCGCGAGTGGCGTTGGATACGAGATGGTACAGAGCCAACGAGGCGTGTAGCGCCGAGTTGGCTATAATCATCTCATATCCAACAATCGCGAGTGGAATAATTGCTTTATTAAAAACGCCCACAAAATATCGAGAATTCTTCCAGACTTTATTTGTAAAAACAACCGATTTTCAGCTTGTTTTTAATTCTGAGCAGACGCGTACAGTTACTATAATTGGAGAGCATGGTATAAAGGCTCATATACCATGATGGCTAAGCCAATCAGAGCTCTAGAATTGCATTATCCAAAGATTCAGTTTTTAATAAAATTTATTATCTAATAATACTATTGCTTAGCCTTTTGTCTCACAGGCCGAGAAACGAGACTTTACGGCTGAGAGAAGCGACAACCAAAAATACGGCAAACTTAGATATTTTCCATAAAAATGCATTTTTTTAGTTTCTTAGTTCCAGTACAGTATATTAAGCAATTATAATTAGCCTTACCATCTCCTCTGGATCTTCGCCATTGATCATTTTCTTTAGATTGTCAATAATCTCCCGCACATCAAAGTTTGGCACTTTTGTACTGTAACCAGTGCCAATCCCCTCGGCACCATTCACAAGCACTGTGGGTAGTATGGGACAGTACCATTCTGGTTCAACCGGCTGGTTGTCGTCGTACAGGTAAGTCAGGTTGGGCATGTCGTGTGTGGAAAACAGGAGCTTGGCTAAAGGGCTTAGCATGGTAAAGATGTAACGAGGGCTAGCAGCATCCTTGCCACCATGGATGCGGGTACCAAACTGGCCGATGGGTTGCAGCAGGTTGACGTTATTGCTACCCACAAAATTCTGAGCTAAGTTGACGATGGTGCCCATAAGACTTGTCTGCCGAGAATTAACACGGAAAATTAGTTTGACCCTTGTATCACTCTTCCAGGGTGACTATACCCTGCGTGCAGAGGTTTCTCTCTTGAATGGCTTTTAGCGTTTAAAAAGTCGTTCGCGTGGCTTATCTGTCGTGTAGTTAATTTGTTTACGTCCCGGAGTCCAAACAAACCAACTACGCGACAGACGAGCCAAAATGTTTATCAGAAGTCCCCTTTTTGTCAGGCACCCTTCATCTTTCAGTTATAGAGACATGACAAACGCCTTTGTGCAATGTAGCCTATTCGAATAACCTCTTCAACCAAAAAATTTGACCGTATTTGATTGAGTGTTCAACATTCTATTAGGCTTTGTATGTTTAGTGTGTCCTAGAATTCTATGCTTTTTCCACGGGCTTCCAGAAAAGGGTAAATCGGCAATCTGAAAAGATGCACAGTTAAGCCCAGTCCTCATTAGTGATACAAGCATAAGCATAAGAATAAACATAATGCAAGCATGAGCAAAAGAATGAGCATAAGAACTTTATGTGGTAGTGAGGACGGTTTTGATATTCAATTGTGTTTATGGTTATGCTATGTCAAGGCCATCCTTACTAACTAATGCTCGTGCTTACGGTACATGCTTAAGTCGCTAATCAGGACCATGTTTAAAGGCTTATGCGTATGCTTGCGTCGCTAGTGAGGAACAAAGTGACAAAGAAAAATGGAATTCTATGCCTTTCCTGGATTCCCATGACCTAAACTTGTATAAGAATCCCGTTAAGCACAAGACAGAATCTTCTTGTTCTCGTCTCTGAAAGAGCATTGTGGTGAAGCTTAATTTTCATACCCTACCCAGGGTGCAAAGAAAGGGAGTTTTGCAGCTTGCCTTTTGGGCAAGCTGTAGCTACATGTAGCATGTAATAGTCCAAAAGTCATTTCAACTAATACGAAAAACAATTTTTGATGACCAGGTTTGACTACGATTCTTCTGTGATTTGAATTCCCTGAAAAACATCACGTGCTTGTTGGGCAACTTAAGAAAAAACGCACAAAATCCAGTGGTCCCGAGGTATCGGACAATACCGTAAAATTCCGAAAAGAAGCCCCGGGACGTATATTTTTTAAAGGCCTTTTTGATGGGCTTATATTTGGAGGGGCTTATGTATGGAGGGAAACTTGCGTTTCAAAATCGATTGGGCTAGCCTTATAGTTGGAAGGAAATGTACCGTTTTTGCTTTGTTTTACTTTGTATTTGAGGGCAACTTCCAAGTACAAGCCCCCGGCGCTTATATTTGGAGGGGCGAAGGGTTTTTTGCGTTACGAGTTTGGGGGGCTTATATTTTGAGGGGCTTATTTTCGGAATTTTACGGTACTTTCCACACTGCCATCTCACAACCAGTGGATTATTACAGGTAACAGAAAGATCCACAAAGATTTAAACTGGCCTGGCTTGGAGCCAAAGGAAGTGAAAAATGTTTTGTTCTGATGGAACAAGGAAAAGAAGAGTTGATCACTCACCTCACCATGGTGATAGGCAGACAATTCAGCCACTGATCCTGCAAGCTGGGCTACTTTAACCTCTCGTTTGTCGTTCCTCTTGAAGCAAGTAAAAAGAACCTTTCTCTGTCCTGGTTTCATACCTGAAATAATGATTTAAAAAAAGATGAAACAAGATTAATCATTTATTCACACCTCCAGCTGCCCATTACTGCCTGTGTGGAACCACATCCTTTGTACCCAAAACTTTCCCCAATGAAATAAAGCCTAGTATAGGATGCCCAGCAAAAGAAAAAAAAGGGAGAAAGTAGTAAAATAACAGGAGCAAGGAGGAGAGAAAGCAGAAGGGAAAGGTCAAGGGGGAAGTAGGATTTTACCTTCTGTGCATGTCTGAACTTCAACTGTAATTTAGGTGCTCAACTTGTAAACAACATTTGGGTAATTTTAGTTTTTTTGGCCAGATATTGACTAGAAATAGCTAGACTAACTTCACTGGTGGATAGTAATGTTAATCAAAGTATTGATTGTTCACAGGCCATCAGAGGTGAGGTACCAGGAACCATAGCTTACCATCAACCAAGCATGGAATTGATCGTTCATTGTCAGCATTTGAAAACAAAATAAGTTCCTTGTTGACAAAATCAGAGTATGAAACTGACTTTGTGTCCTTCTCATACAAGTAAACCTGAAAAAAAAATGAAAAGTCATAATACAGTTTTGAAGTGAGATCTTCAGAAAACTCAAACATCCCTACAACTTTGGAAATTATCACAAATAATAATAATAATAATAATAATAATAAAAATAATCAAAAATTTATATCGTGCCTTTTCCATGTAAATATGATCAAAAGCGCTTATATAACGCAGGTGCTCATTTAGCTCTTTGTCAATGATTGCCATCTACAGTGTTTCTCCTTACATAACTCACCTCTGAAAGACCTTGCTGCCTTCTCCATTTGCGGTCATCCATGGCACGTGTAAGCCAGTCTTTCCTGTCATTTACTTTTTTCTTACTGAATGCCTTTTGGAAAGGGAACAATAATAGCAAAGACATACATGTACTTTGAGTCACTTGAAATCACAACATGGTAATTACTGTTGACAAATATATCAAAAGCAGTAGGGTTAGAGAAAAACATTAAAGTTTCTTTTGACAACACTTTATGTCCCGTATGGGTTAGTGAAGTGTTTTTTGCAATATTACATTGCAAGTTAAGTGGCAAAGATAAAAATGCACATACAAATTTAAGCTCAGATCTCCATAATCAACACTGAAGAACAAATAAAGAACATTTTATTATAATAATGCCACAAGAGTATAATATAAGAGAGGCTAAATTGCAGAAATGACATTATACATACCATAAGTATGGCTTCATCACAAGCAGCACCCTCATGATGGAACTGAATCTGGTGACGATGCATATCAGCAAAGTATTCCTTTGCCTCTTTAGGGGTGCTCGTACCCAACCCCTTATAGTACTTTACTTTCCAAGACTTGACATTCTCTGTGCTGCTTTTCCATTCTTCATATTCAGGAATACTGTAGAAGGATAACTCTTCTTTGCCTTTGCTTACCTTTAATGAAAAGAAGAAAAAAAAAACATTGTAAACAATTTAAGTAAAACCAAAATGATTTCCTTACCATTTTGGTGTGATGAAAAGGTCACTTACATGCACATGTACACTGTAAGCCCTACGGCTTAAGGATCATTATACGTTTCTGGGAAACTGCCCACCTACCCCTTCCCTAAATCAACATTTTGCCCTAAGTGAGAAGTAAGTGTTAATGTTGGTTTAGGGGAGGGGTGGGTAGTCAGTTACCCAGATACGTAAAATGATCCGGGCTTACGTTACATGTAAGGTCCATGAATAATCCAACCAAGAGCCACATGTACTCACACACAAGGCAGTATATACATCATTAAGTTCAAGAGAGAAATAGTATCCTTCAAAGCGTTAAAGATTGACACAACTGGCACAGGCATCAGAGGTCAACTACAAAGGGTTGATGTCCAGGGATCAAACAGGCTGACCACACAGTATACTGGGGGGAGGCTAAATTAATATCATCTCATCAGTGTTGTCCACAAAATTTCAAGAGGAAAGAGAAAACATCGAAGTAGGCAGCAATACACCATGTAGATTAGATCGAAAGGCACTTGCATGTGGGGGCAGGTATGAAAAGGGTATCAGGCCCCCTTCTCCTTCTCCTCCCTCTCCTCCCCTAATAAGACAACAGATTTATTAATTTCCTTTAAAAAGAAGCCAGGGAGTAGCCACTCCTTCTGTGAAGACTAGATAGTGATTTTCAACTGACACCAGGGCTTCTGGAGAACCCTGTGTCATTTTAACAGTGAACATTGATGCAGTCGGGTAAATTACATTGTAAAATAGCTTCATTCATGATCACTGCTTTTTAATAACTTTCCATTGTTTGAGAATAGTAACCAAAATCAAAATAAAGGAAAGTCGACACTGACCTTAACAATTGGAGTAATGAACTCCTCTAAGAAGGGCAAACGAGTCAACTGTGGCCAATTGCTGTGAATGAAATTGATGAGAAGTCCCTTGATGTGAGATCCATCTTGATCCTGATCAGTCATAATCATAACATGTCCATATCTCAAACTCTTTAAATCATCCTCTGATGAGTACTTCTTGTTATATTGGAGACCAAGAATCTTGATAAGGTTGTTGATCTCTGCATTGTCAAGAATCTGCAATCATGTACAGTTAAAACCCATGACTAAGAACCTAGTTTTTAACAACCTGTTAGGCTAAAATTTGGCAGTTATGCACCCTCTATACAACAACTTCTGCTTTGGTAATACTCTATATTGCATTACCAAGGAGGCATTTACTCAAAGGCAGTATATTTTCAAGGGCAGTGTTTACCTTAAAATCACAATTTTATTCTTGAATCACTGACAACAACTAAAATTAATTATTCTCACTATTTGCTGAGATAGAATCATATTTCTACCTCATTTGTGTAGATTACCAATGTACCTATTTTTTTCTTATCATCCTTGATAAACACTACGTTTTTTGATTGGGTTCAGCATTTATTCCAAGACAGCATTTTTTTAAAATTTTGTTCGAGTAAATATGGTTCTAATATATAAGGACCATTAAAAAGTACTTGTGCCATGACAACTCCAATTGCTACAGAAGAATACAGTCTAATTACTTCAACACGTGCCTGTATGTCCCAATCAAAGGGCAGCCATTGTGACTTTTTTAGAAGTCTAAAAACAGTCAGCATTAGAGGGCAGAAAAAACTATAAGATAACCATCAACCAAAGTGCTGGCCACAGTCATGATCCCTTCTTTTTTACCTATTTAACTACTACACTTTTTTTATGCCAACAAGTATGTTAAATACAGGGTAGTCTGACAAAGTGTGGATTATAACACACTTCCTCCCCGTCATGAAACACTTGCCATTTTTTACTTCCAGAACTCAGATATCAAGCCTGTATCAGGTCATACTTATATATCATACAATGTAGGTGTACCTGCTTGTGTGAAGCATCTCGTACGTTTAACAGTTTGCCACGTAGTGGAAACACTCCATAATGGTCTTTGCCAACCACACTCAAGCCACTCACAGCCAATGTCTTGGCTGAATCTCCTTCTGTTAAGATGAGTGTACATTGCTTTGAGTTCCGTCCACCTGCTTCATTGGCATCGTCAAGTTTAGGAATTCCACGAATTTTGCTGGACTTGGTTTTCTGACATTTCTTGTTGAGTTGACTCTGGAATAAACAATAATTGGACCATAATTCTTATATCATAGAAAATTTCATTCCGGAAGTTACAGTTAGATAATGTATTTAGTACTGTACCTGTGCTTTGAACTTCACCCAGTTCATGATGTGTTCAACAACACCACACTGAGTCACCTGCCAAGAGGGAAATATTTTAGATGAATGATACAATGAAAGCATGACTTTTCTGAGGTTTAATTTGTCTGACAATATTATTTATATCAAGGCAGCCTGTGCTCTAAGAACATTTGAAGGACCCCAGTGCTCTGAACCTGAGAAATTCAGGGTGGCCAGTGTATGATTTCTTTTGCAAAGGGGAAGAGGTAAGTCACCAGGGGACACCGGGCAGAGCAACAGCACAGCCCTGTATATACAGTGCAGGTAACTCTCATTACATGTGGCTAAAGCACTTAAAGTACTATTTCATTAGTACATTAAAAAAATACATGTACAGTAGCAACCCGCAATGTGAACACTGAAGGGAGACAAAAAACAGTTTGAGTTGGCGGGGAATTCCAGTTACCTGGGTAAATTTCAGCGAAATTTTGATAAAGTCAAAACAAAATAATTTACTTTGAGTTAGTGCAGAATTCGAGTTATCCGAGTGCAAGTTATAGAGGTTCTACTACTGTAGTATCAAACAAATAAGCAGTGATCAGCAAGCAAGTAGTGGTATTCTATTCATTTATTCATTTAGATTACTTCTACTAGTTGTTACAATATAAAATACCTCTGGTAATGTAAAACCCTATGCTAGAGTATATGACTCTTATTTTTTATTGCAGTATTATTGCAAATTGGCATGTGTCAGTATTGAACTTTTTTTACCTCCTTTAAACTGAACCTGTATTAAGCAGACACATGCCTTTATAGGGTGAACAGTTGCAAGGGTAATAAAGAGTGCTCCTTTAATTAATACAGGTTTTACATTACATGTAACAAACTTTCAAACCTGTTTAATAAACTTGTCACTGAAATCACAGGTGGATCCAAAAGCCTTGGCCCGTAACGTCATGTTTTCTTTAGTTTGGGAATCAAATGAGGGGTTTTCAATAAGACAGTTGATGAAAACCCACAGGTGATTCTTTATTTGAAATGGCTTTACTTCAATGCCACCTTTGTTCTTCCTCTTCACTGCAATCATGAGCTTCTCCACAATTTGATCTGTTACATAATTAACATGAGTCCCTCCCTGAAATACAAAAATTAACCATTTACTAAATGTGCAAATGCTGTTAACCAACTGCCTCATATAAGTGGAAGGTAGGTGCCTGGGATACCCAGGGGTTTCCACTGTGGCCAGCCATCACCTAGATAGAATACTGCCCCCATGGCTGGCAAATCCCCACAACAAAGCCATGAGCCCCCATTCCAGGCACCCATCTCACTGATGAAACAGTGGAAGGAAGAAAAATAAGGGGTTGGAGGGGGAGAAGATGCTCCACAGACTGCTGCACAAACGCTCAACGAAGAACTCAAAGATCCAGCAGTGTACAAAGCTACCACGTACCAAGTGAGCCTGCACTTATGGGATTGACCGCTGAATGCCCACTAAGCTGGTGGACCGCTTTACCGCTAAGTGTGTGGACTGCTTGATCTCTAAGCTTGTTGTCTGCTTAACCGCTAAGCTCATGAACTGCTTGACCTCTATGCTTGTGTACCGCTTGCCCGCTAATCTCATTAACTGCTTGACTGCTAAGCTTGTGATGGTTAACTTAGTTAAATAACATTTAACTGAATCAAATTAGAGCTGAGAAACAGTATTGCTGGGTTTTTAAGCCTAGTACTGGTATGTTAACATTTATAAGGTCATATTTTATGAAAACCAACCAGTTACAATTTTTTTTCAAGAAGCTGAAATTTCACTCACTAAACTGGGCACGTATTCTATGATTTCCACTCAAAGATAGACTTTCACACTCACATTGGCGACTGAGCTAGCACTTACGTCAAATCCTGTGACATACAATGAAAGTCCATCTATGTCATATACACCAGAATTATTTTTTTTTATCACTTCCCTAATTACCTTAACTTTGTTTGTTTGATTTTTTGGAACAAAAACAAACCTCAACAGCTATGCTGATTTTGTTCTGATCACATATAAACAAAACATCAACATAATCAGGGTGCAAAGAAACTCAGTTTTACAGCTTGCCATTCGTGCAAGCTGTAGTTAACATGTACTAGCCCAAAAGTTATTTTAACTAGCCCGATGATGAGCAGGGTTGATACAGTTCTTTTGCGATTAGAATCCATTAAAAAATTTCACTTGCTAGGCGGGCAAGTTAAGAACAGAATCCACTAGCCCGATAGTAAAATCCACTAGCCACGTGCTCTTGGACACTACTTTCTTTGCACGCTGATAAGAATAATAATTATCATAAGATGTTTAATGTGCTGCTATACCTTAGTAGTAGCTATGCTATTAACAAAGCTGGCTTGCTGGAATCCTTTTGTACTTGTTGTGACACAAACCTCCCAGCGTTTGTTTACCACCTCATGTACAACAGAATTAGGTGACTTCTTCTTATCTTCATCATCAGCTAATTCTTCTTCATCATCTCTGGCTTTCAAATAAAGTCCTACATAATCTTTGAAAGACTTGATCTATTCAGAACAAAATGAAAATAGACAAGTGCACATGACATTGTGGCTCTATTCAGCAGTGTCCAGTAAGCCACTGCACACTGCCAGAGTTGTCAGAAAGTTTTGAATTAGACCACTGAGTTGTCAGAGTAAGCGGCCAGTCCAGGGATTAAAAATGCCATCTGTAAAGAAATTCCAAGCAGAGTAGCCGTCCAATACTAACCAAGTACATGTCAGTAGCAGTTTTCGCCGTCAGCCAGCTACTTTTGACAACCCTGCATTGCTGTGGCTAAAGTTATAAGCTGCCATTTGTATACTACACTGATTTAGAAACAGACTGGGTTGACGAAGGGAAAGCACGCGGAAGGGAATAAACGCAACTTCCGATAAGAGAGCTTAACAAAAAATACAGATTAATTCTTTTTGTCAACAATTTGATGACTGGATGCTCCAAGAATAACAGAGAAAGGTTAGTGCTAATCGGCCTTCAAACAATTGGGCCCCAAAGCAGGTATGGATATGGCATCAATCACAAGCATTCAATACATGAATTACAAACATACTGGTAGTTTCTTTCCATTAAGATAAACTGCAATCCCTCTGACAGAGCCAGCAACATCATATGCCCTCCTGGCCAGCAGTGAGATAGTGTCGCTATCGAGACTTTCCATCTTGAATTTGGCCAAATCAGGTTTAAATGTAATGCAGGTGAAATCTTTACCACTAAAATCCTTCACGATTGGTTCTGCAGCTTTACCCATGTTATTAGTCCAGGTCTAAAATCAAAAGTAGACCAAACAAAAACAAAAGTACCCTTAAATGTAACGACTCTGATTATTAGTTTGGTAGACTTGTACAACTATTTCTACTTCCACACATAATCCTTAAGTACTCACTAGTACAGTAAAAACCCGCAACTAAGAACCTAACAATATATTATTAAGAACCTGTCAGCCTAAAATTGGTCATTTTATACCCCCTATAAACAAGAACCTATTTAGCCCAAGAAATTTAAAACAGGTTCTTATTTTCTAAAATCATACTAGTACATTACAGCTGCATTGCAAGAATCATATTTGAAGCAAAAAAAGCAGAGTGCCATTGTTGTAAAAATGTTTTTTTAAAGGAAAATCAACCCTCAAAGTTAAAATTTTTGTTCAGTGGCCATTTGGCGATCAGCTCTTTGGGTTTAGTCGCCAGGGGAAATTTTTAGGCTCCAAATTATATTAATAAATTAATATATCAAAATTGTCATCAACAAAAGCAGTTAGCAAGTTTAACTTAAAATGCAGCACTGTCTATAAATTACTCGTTTATTGTGCAAGGCATTAGTTACTGATAGTCTGAAAACGGAATTGTAAAGACAATTACCATTTCCAGTTGTCTTTGGAACCTTCAATCCTTCTGTATAATCCCCAGTTGGTATATGAGAGCAGAACTTAACTCATCCTCTGTTAATGTGTTCAAAATTTCCCAGTCGCAACTTGATAGGCGACCTATCTTTTTTTTTTCTGATATTTGTTTCGCATTTCTTTTGCGACTTTTGTTGATGATGAACTTGTTTCCCCAACTATCAAATATTTTTGGAGATTTAAAAGGTTGTTTTTAATATCGCTAGACATCGCGAAAGCCTGAAAAAGGCAGGAGAGTATAGGAAGATCAACAAGTTTTGTAAATCAAATCATTGCTTTATAGAGATACGTGGAAATTTCGCAACGAGTTGTACTGGGAAAAAATTTTTTTCCCAATCAATTGAAAGGAACCCAAACAAAAATGCCGCTTAAAAAATAAAAATTTTCTTTTTCCTTTATCATCGCTACAGGTGTTTTAAAAAACCATTTTTTGCAACCAGTTTTGCGATGTTTAGTTTCGCTTACATTTATCGCTTTTGTTTACAAAACCGCGATTCAACTCGCAGCACGGTTCACATGTTACAGTTATCACATAATGTTCTGTGTTGAATTTGCACCAATTTAGCTTTCCCTCTTCATGTTATTAGATTGTTTCAGTATTGATTCAAAAATATTTGTAATATGTAGTCCAGTTAAAAAACCACCGAACTTGGCTTGACAAGCATTCCTAAGATATCGAAGAAATCGTCACTGTCAACAAGCAAGGTGCTTCGAGTGTGTGCCATTTGTCACATGTCAAAAGTTAAAATGTCACGTGCAAGGCAACAGACTGAAGGCGATTTGGCAAACGAATGCAAGTCAAGTTTCATTGATGTTCATTTTCAAAACGCTAAGCTCTGAGATTTTTTTAAGTTTTCAATTTAGCATGTTTTTCAACGGAAAAGTAAAAAAGTAAAAGAATTCAAATCAGCTAGAATAAATGTTCTTCATATTTCAGTAGAAGTGATTGCCATTTCTGTTTCTATACGCCAACACGAACCTATTCTGCACGGTCGCCAGCTTGGCGACTATTCTCGAAATCAAGTCGCCAGTTCCAAAATTTTAGGCGCCATGGCGACTAAAATGGTCGCAACTTGGAGGGTTGAAAATGAGTGCAAGATATGTTTTTTGGAGGGTGGGGTGGGGCTGAAGAAAATAAAAGTATAAGCTAATGACCAACTTGTTTGCAGCTGTGTTTTAATTGTTTTTTTCTCCAGGATTAAGAACCCATTTTAAGAACCTAAATAGCCTAAAAATTCTGTTAACTACCATTTATATAAGAACCTGTTCAGGCTAACTCCTAAAAATGTAGGTTCTTAGTTGCGGGTTTTTACTGTATCACTTCATTTATTTATTTTTTTGCTTCGTTTGAAGCATTGCTAGTTTGAAAGAGATCCTGAATGGAACTTTTAAATTATTACAGTAGAAAAGCTGACACCCTGTGCATGAAATGTATACAGTACACTCCGTACTGTGTGAAAAAACAATTTTTTACATTCATTTTACAAGATATCATTATATACATGCACAGGGCGTTAATAACTTTTGATGTGCAGGAGGTGTCAGAGAAAGCTGCAGTACATGTAACTGTACCTGTAGGCAAGGCACGAGAGAAATTATTTAACAATAATATTATATTGAATGAGGCTACAAGGTAGTGGCATGACTTGGTATTAGATGTTGTGCTGCTGTTGTGCTTAAGTCAAGTTTAATTTGATCAACTGAGTTCATAGTGTTCTCCCTAAATTTTTGTTCAGCAGGTAAGGGACCGTTCATAGGCGGTAAGGCGAAAAAAAAAATGTGTGCCAGAAGCGCACTTACTTGTGGGAGGGAGGTAGTGGAGTGGGGGACATGGCTTTGACCTTGCTGTGAAATTTAGGTGCTAAGTTCTCTGAAATGTCATTCCCTCATTTAAGACCTATTTTATGTAAACCAGCTGTTGTTATTTTTAGACAACACTAAAAAACGTTTGATTCCAATAATATTACACTGTCTTCAATGCTCTAGAAAGGCTGTGTATACTTTAGTACACTTCCATATATTTGTTCATTACCTTGATCGGATCAAATCACAACTTACGTATTTTTTAAAACAACTTATTTAATTTTAGTAAAGCTTCAAGCGGTTGCAGGCGGTAAGAAGTGTTGCTTCAGACGGTAAATGTTACCGGTTTCCGCCTGATGAGGAGAACACTGAGTTCAGCACAGAAGAAGCACCTTTGAAACAGGCCTACATGTAAGCTTCTCTTGTGTGGTATCAATGATTGTAATCGCCTGCAACTTCTAAATTTGTTCAGCTCCAGCAGGTTAGGAGAACTACATCTTGTACTACTGTAGCTGTGAGTATAAGGCCACAAAACAGCCAAATATTTTGAATGAATAATAATAGTCCTTATGTACTCTACATTGAAGGAGGTGAATCATAATGATAATAAATAAATTATATGCTATTCACAGAAGACGAAAATGTACCCGTGGGTAAAGCGTCTTGTTGAAAGCCATGCATAGGTTTAGAAGAAGTACTTGTACCTGTATATTATGATAATGCCTGCTTGAATATATATGTATGATAGTACCTGCTTGAATTTTTTTCCAGAATCAGATGAGCATGTCTCCACAACAAACTTTGTGCTGAAAATGTTGCAGAGCTTCGCACCATAGCCATTGCGTCCGCCTGTTACTTTCTTTTCATCATCATTATAGTTAGAAGAAGTCAGAAGATGGCCAAAAATTAATGTGGGTACATAAACTTTCTGCTCCTTGTGCATCTCAACTGGAATACCTCGTCCATCATTCCAAACACTGATTGTATTGTTTTCACTACATTTAAGTGAAAAGCAGAAACTTAATAACCAGAACAAAATACTTCAAAAAAGAAGCTGCATTATCAAAGATACTAACAGTCGGTTATTTGAACAAAGACTAACTTAGGCTGTGGTATAAGAAGTCATTGGACCTCCAGATCTTTTTCTAAGTGGGTAATTTTAAGAAGAAAAAGTGCCTTTATGGACTACGCTGTATGCTTTCAAGAAAGTTACTGGTCAAGATGAATGGTGCCTAGATCAAAACATTTAGTAGAATGAAAATGCCTTAGAACGCAGTTTTGATAAACAATGCAGCTAGACTCTAACTTGCTATAAGAGACACTAATTTTTAACATCCTTGTTACATTGTACTTGTTATTATGGGCAGATTACATTATTTTTCATCCACAAGTTTTTCTCTCTTGCACATGAACAAGGTATCTGGATACTGCGAAAAGTTGCACAACAAAAATGTGCTCGAAAAGCAGTACAGTACAATGTAAATTAATCAGTCAGTCATGTCTCAGTAGTAATTTTTTTGGCAGTACAGTGGTAATTTTTTTCAGTCTGCTTAAACCTTTGCCTGCAGAAATAATAGAACTGTTGTATTTTTTGTGATGAACTAGATTGTGCTGCTGTAATCTGAGTTTATGTTTAAAAGACCACCACAGCTCAAAGCTTCACTTACGCATCAATGGTGATTTTAATGCATCCCATGGCGGGATCCCTCTGCTTGTTATCAGCAGCATTGACTGAAACAAATAAATAAATAAATAAATAAATAAATAAATGTAAATACAGTGGACCTAGGTAATGCGTGAAAATTTAATTTAAACAAGGCATTGAACTACAACCAACAAATGCAATGTACACTTATCATTAGCTACAGCCTGTGTACAGTGTACAGGACTAGTTGCATAAGACCACACGACTGTTATAAGCACAGTCGGAAGTATTTTAAGGACAAAATAATCAAGATTAAAACAAACTCCTAACCCCATTCTTAGCATTATTATTCATTCTGAATATTTCTCCATTTCTGATTGGCTAAAAGTCCATGCATAATTTATCAGAACCAGCTATTGTTGACCAAATTTGGAAGTATTTTGCAATAATATCACGTGAAAAATGATGTCCATCGTGCGGCAAAATTGCCAGATTATTTAAATCATTAAGTGAGAAGACCTGGGGATGAGGTTGAGTTGTTTTGATAGTGACTAGAAAATGGCGGAACATTTCACTAATAGGAAGAACTGTTGGCTAAAAACATAGCAAGAACAACAAGAACACAACTCAACAGACAACATCTGCTATTTGGAGAATATTTGCAGACCTGAACACCCCTTTATATCCTACATTTGCCAAAAAGCATGCACTATTGACGACGAACTTAACATCGATGGAGGAAAGCATGTTTTAGCTTGTTTTCAAACTTGGAATTATTTTGAATGAATAATAAAAAAATTATTGATTTCAGATTTTCGTATCATCTGAAGAATTATGGACATTGAGGAGGGTTTTATCCACCTTGGCCATGCATAACACCCTCCAAGATCTCCATAATTCTTTAGATGATACTCAGCCTCATTCAATAATTGTTAACTATTGATAGGTCACTTACCTAACAGTTCATCAAAAATCTTGTATAGACCAGGCACATATGTTATATCCTTACTGACAATCGCTGACAGCTGTTCGTCATAAACCCACATGCCTTGTTTAATTGGCTCAACAGAACCAACGTATGTGTCAGGACGTAACAGAATATGTTCCAGTTGAGTTTTCTTCTGGTAGATTCTTTCCACTGACATTCGCTTCTTTTTCTTTGTTGCAAATGCATTGTTACCAGCATTTTCTCCATTCATTATCTCCTGCAAGAAATGTTTTTGAGTACTTTAAATTAGAAACAGCATAGAAGAATTTCCAGATAATACAAGCCAACAGAAGTGGTACAGGTGTGAAAGTTATGCAAACCCGAGATGAAGTCAAGGGTTTGCGTAACTGTCTTGAATTCTCCTAACCCCTCTTGTGTTTATATCAGGCTCTGCAAACACAAAAAATGTTTTCTATTGCTTAAAACATGGTCTAATGCAAATTAAACTTACCTTATCAGAAACTGTAACATATGAAGGAAACAGTAGAATCAGGGAAGCAGTCACTAAGATTGAGCATTCAAATTTCATAGTAATCTTATCTGCTACATCAGCTCATGGCAGAGTGAAAACGTTAAGTATAATTTTGATGAACCAGTGATTATTGTGCAGTTGCAATGGGTTTTGGAAGCCATCAAGCAAGATACCAGAGCACAAGTGGTACCTACAGTTTAGCTGATCACAATTATTTGGAACAGATTAGTCGATTTATTTGGGAATTCATAGCCCTTGTGTGAAGATTGATCCTTTATCCTGAAGCCAGCCCTTACATTCAAGCCATTGAAACTGGCCAGAAAAAGCAAGGAAACGTTTAGTTAAAGGTATGTGCAGTGAGCTTTTATTTATGTTTATTTTTAGGCTCCATTTATACTGATCATTATAAAAGTTTTGGCTGTACCGGCACATGGTATTGCGGCGAAGATCTAGATGTTCTTGTTTATTAAAAAAAAAATACACAGAGCAACAAACTGGGCCATTTTCAGGACATCATATAAATGTACACATGGAAGTATTGGAATGAATTACCTTTTGCCAATCAATGATGCAAATTACGACCGGAAAGTTACACCACAATTAAAACACATACATTCTTAGACATAAACCGCGCACCAATAGCACCAATCCCTACTAGTCTTACTTTATAAATGAGCTTGCAAAAGCAAATGCGGTGATAGATGCGAGCGATTCAAAATGGCGGGAAAATAGGAAGGAGCTTTTATCACGATTAGCTATCCTTTTCCTGCCTAGTCACTGGCTTCGATCTTTGCTTTGGTCGGTTATCTACCAAAGAAGTTAACAATCGCGGCCCTTTAACGAAAAACAACGGTAAAATATTGGGACAAAAAGGAATTCCTAAGACGTATCGTCGATCGTGTCAAAAGCAAACTCATCTCCTAGGTAAAAAAAACTCCATCAAACGTGCATTTGTAACACCCGATCTTTTATACTTTACAGCTTAAACATTCAACTGCCCTTCAGTCCTTTGAAAATAATCGCTTGGGTCGAATAAAACGATTATCCTTACCTTCAACGGGCTCCCTGATTCAGCCGCCATCTTCCCGAGATTGCAAGCCGATCGCAAGGTTAATTTGAGGTAACCGCCAAAGAGCAAGCTCTTCAAAATAACCAATCACAATCACCAACAACTATCACGTGATAATTCTTAGTTCGCGTTTTCGCGAGTATATCTCGCGTGAACAATTCAAGATGGTGTCAGAAAATTTCGATCATTGGATCTTCCGACGATCTGTTGATATAACGTTCCTAACAAAGTATTGTATAGTCAAAGTATTGATTTTAAATTCCCGAATCAATTACTTTCTACTTTCCTTTTCTAAGATAAAGACAATAGTCACAAAAGAAAATATTGTTTGTGCAAAACCATTACCGATGTGGCTTACCATTACACTGCTAGCAGGGTCGCTTCGATCTTTCCTAGATAAGTCGGGAAAGAGGAAGGTTCCTTCCTCTTCCTGACTTCTCTAGGAAGATCGAAGGAGACTCTGTGCGCAGGGTAGCTTACCATATCATCGTGCAGTAGATTCGGAATTCCCTTAGGTAGGAGTGGTTAATTTTTCGTGATTTCTATGAAGACGGCACAGAGCTAATCCGGTGGATATCTCTTTCCTTTTGTATAAACAAGTCTATTGCAAATCCATGGTCAGAAGGTTGAAATAAATTTATCCCAAAACACAACTTTGTATGATCCATGTCGCCGGGAAAGAACGAGAGGAAGACTGGGTAAGAATTCAATGCGTCGCCTGGTTTGCCTGGTCGCCTGGCCACTATGATAACGCAGCCGCTCGGGCCGGAGTCACGCTACTGAGATCACAGCTGAGACACCCTATTAAAGATCAGGCTTTTTTTTTTTTTTGCTTCTCTGCTTCTTTGTCTCCCGAAAACAGATTACAGAGATAAAGGGAGAGACCATAATCGCAGGCTAGAGTCACGCGGCTGCGAGAGACTACTATGCGACGCTTACTGGGAAAATTTAGCGGCCTCTTCAAAAAAATCCATACAATACATTGCGGACTCTTTACGGTACTCCGCTACTCGATGTGTACAACAGCCACTTTCGTCTGCCCCCAAGGTACGTCCAAGGTGGCTGTTGTAGAGGGGTCCAACTGTATTCAACCAAAACACTATTTACAATTTGATTAGAAAATTAGAAAACATTATTTTCAAGGTCGGCATTCTAACTAAGAAAATTACTAAAAAAAAATTAAGAAAATAAAATAGCGTTTTCAATGCCTCATTAACGAATATTTGGGTGTCCTTTTTCAATTTATAAGCCAATCACTCTCTTAGAAACATGAGAACCTCTTAGGCAACTCAGTAGAAGCCCCTTTCTGAGTGGCAAGGTCCACAGATTGCAAAGTTTTTCCAGAAATCGAGCCCTTCACCTCATCAAGTTTTTCCTTCACTAGTTTGGCGTTGTACAGTGTGCCTCATGCACCTGTGATTCTATTCGTTGGGTTAATGGACCAGAGATATTAGTTGATGCTGCATACTCTAAGGCTGCTACTTGACTCATATTTGATAGGCCCATGCTTCTCATTCTCACTGGCAGCGCCAGCAGCTCACGTTCAGCTTGAGCTTGTGTACAGTTGTACCCTGTAATGGAGGTATGAGGGTATCAGCTATAGCGGGCTTAAGAGGTGCGAGTAAATCTTCTATATGATGGTCCGAATGGGGTTAACCGATAGCGTAAAACGGCCCAAAATTTAATCGTTAGCCGAAAAAATTGAAAAATTTTAACCGTTAGCCGTAAATAAGGTAAAAAGAGTTAACCGTAAGAAAATTTTGCTCCTTAGACTTGATAATTTGAGGAGGTGCTAAACTCACTTAGAACGGTTGTGTTTCTTATTTCGCAGCTTCTTTCAATTGGCTCTGTACGTTCCCGTTTCTGCTAGTTTTGCTTTTCACGAAGATTCTATTCAAATAAACTGTTATGTCTTTTATTAGGAATGGTCCTTTTCATGGCTCACAATTATCATTAATTATTATTTTGCAAGTGAAAATCTTTAAATTTTAACATTGTGCAACACTCCAAAGGATATGAAGGCTTTAAATTTCAATACTCTCCTTTACGTCAATTATCAAAATTTTACTATTCTGGAAAACAAATACTTATAACAATTTTAAAGCTAGAACTTTAACAAACTCTTTATGTATTTTATTCAGTGAATGACTAAATGCCTTCATAGGGATCATATCTATGTGAATGACAAAGCGTTTGCATGTCTTTTCTTACCTTTCCATTGTTTAGGAAGGTTCTAGGGGAACCCCTCCCCCCACCACCACCAGCCTCATTACAAGAATACTATTTTTCTACGAGTCCCCTTTAATTCAAGCCAGTCTAGGTTAGCAGGCCCCTGTTAAACTCAAGAACTGGATCCATCTGTATAAACTTTGCTATTTAAAACCATGTAACTCTTAAACTAAATAGTTATACACTTGATAGACAGGGCGGAATGTTAAGAAACAAGTTTTGAGAATAGAAAAACGTCTTGCCAAGTTTTCTATTTGTAAATTTTTATTTACCAATATACACTAATTTTTAATTTTTTCCCTGGAAGCATATCCAATAATTACATATCTACTAAAAAATGCATCTTTTGCAGTTTAGATTGCGCGCACACCTAATTATCCTTTTTCCTTAATTTTATTTTACAATCTGTGTGCACTTCAAAAATGCAATAGAAGAGCTGGACAGCAGTTTGAGGTTGCGTGTGAGACTGGGTCAGTGTTGCATCGGTGTTGCACCATGAGACTGTTCTGAGGATGAGTGATGATGTTCCAATAGACAATAGAGAGCTTTAGATTCTAAGACGAGGACGACTATGAGTACGAGATTTTCTCAATACTGAGTACTGCTCACGCGCGAATCAGCGTCATTTGGTCGGGAAAACTTGATAACTGTCGTCATTCTACTACGAGTTTTAGCGAGAATGTCGACGGTAGTGGGGGGAAACAAGTTATCAAATGAAAGAAGTTTCACCACTTTGCTATCGGGACAGTCTGCTACACAGCCGTTTTTAGTGTCGTCACGACACTAAAAACGGCTGTGTAGCAGACTACTATCGGGAGAGAGCTTAACCAACATCAGAATAAATAATCGTACTAACTTTCTTGGTGAAAAAAAGTAAAATGAAGCTTTCCGGACTGTCTTTTTTTGAGAACACTCATAAAAAAACTTTACGTTAAAGCTGGTACTCGCACTCGTTCTCGTCCTCAAATATAAAGCTCTCTTATACAAGAAGGGAGATTGTCCCAAATTTAACAATCCCTAGTGCAGTTACACACGAAACCGACTCAGACTCACGATTTCAATCTTTGTTGTCGTCCTTATCAAAAATTACAGTGATTCAAATTATCTTTTTTAAGAAAAAAAACCCTCCCCGATGAAGAGGATTTTGCCATTTGTACATTTGTTATCTACAAGTATGTATACTGATGCGCACTTTTTAAAAAGAAGTTCAAAGCTCAGTTCACGCGCAGTACAGTATCATGGTACAGTCTTCAGTGTCATGTGATTTCTTTCTGTCGTGGTGGGCGATCCAGATTGGTTTTAACTGTCTCCACAAGCCATTCAATTCCAGTACTTATTCCATCTCTAGAAAAAGACACACCGAAACTTTCCGTTAAAAAAGCGTAATTACTAGTTACTTTTTCCACAGGCAGACCATCCTCAATGTGGGTGGTCATGTATCACTTGAGATTTTGAGAGGAACTACATATTGATTGTAGCGCATTGGCAAACTCTCTTGACTGGAGGGTAAAGTTGAAAGAGCATGTTTACAGCCAATTATCATAATTGAAGGGGGCTTGGTCCACTTATGCAGATCCAATCATTTTCTATTTGAATATTTAAACAAAGCTCCCATTCAGTTGTTTGAGGTGTTCTTGTCTTCTTGTGAAAAGATCTTTTAGTTACTATATCTAGGCTTGCAAGTTTTTAACTCACCCGTTTAGAGCAGAAGTTGGCTGAATATAATAATCCCGATGCCCAATGCTTGGAGAATTGTCATTAAATATATTTTTTATTGCCTCCACACCAAGGGAATCCTTTGAAGTGAATAATAATTACATTAACTTCAAAACCTGGCTTTAAATCATTTACTTAATGAGACTGGAGATAGAACAAAGATTCCTGAAAGACAACATGAAGGCTTGCATGTGACATTATTTGCAATTTTTTAAATTAGTGTAAGTTTGATAAAAAAAAAGACCGTGCTTTCAATTTTGCTCCGGTATTCTTGACTAACTATGTGATTCAATAACATTTGTCAAATACTACCTGAATATCTTGTTTGTTGGCAAGAATCAACAATGGAATGCCTTCCAGATGAGGATCATGAACAACACTGTCTGTAAAAACAGAAAAGAATACCATACACTGTAGAATACCACCATAGATCCCTTTACTGATTTAAGACTGACCTCAAGAATCAAACAACAAGGGACAATAATTTAGGAAATAAGCAAAATTGAATCCAACTAAAGGTAATTCCCTTGGAAATGATGTCATACCCACATGTTTTTCAAACTTGGCACAAATGCCAGCCATATATAAGTACATTCAAAAACAAAAATAAAAAGATGGGGTCACCGTGCTTGTTTTCGCCCTGTTTCCCCATAATTCTGAGTGGCTTTCCTAGTTGTGAGCGAAATTTTCAAAATTGAAACAATAATTTTTGTCAAAAAAATCTTATTTTAAGGCAAAAGCTTTGTATCTTACTAAAACCTTAAGCATGTTTGTTTGTCTCGGAGAGGGGACTGGGGCGGGTTTCAACAAAAACACCTTTTTAGCCAGGTGGAATTATCAAAATCGCTATAAAAGCATTTGGACTAGAAAAGGGGCCATAATTACCTCTTTTTAGGCAACCAGTGAAAATCACCACTCCCTTTGAAGTTGCAATGATATGCGCACTAGGTGATGCACAGCACAAAACTAGGGAATTAACTTGTTTTGCAACATTAAGGCCATTTATACAAGGAAAAATAAGACACGTCTTAAATAAGACGCGAACTGTACCATTTATACGAGCATGTCTTATCTAATAAGACGCATCTTAGCTAAGCCGCGTCTTAGCTAAGCCACGTCTTATTTTAGAAGAAATGTGCCGTTTATACGGAAAGTTCGCGTCTTATTTAATACGCGTCTTATATAAGACGCGTCTTATTTTTCCTCGTATAAATGGCCCTATTGTTGCAAAATGAGTTGAATAGCAAAGTTGCACATTTTACCACCCTGCCCCCCACCCAAATACCTTGCAACCTCATTTGTTGCAAGGCAGGTTTGAACATCGGTGGTAAAATGAGCAACATCGCTACTCAACTCATTTTGCAGCAATGTTGCAAAACAAGCTGCATGTTTTTTGTTCCCCGTTTTACTGCTTAACTATTTTGTAGGCGTCTGATGTATAATCTGGGCTGTTACTTACTGAAAGACTGATGAGACTCTTCCATTCGCCTTTGATCAGAAGAGTCAACAACATAAATAACACCATGACACTCTTCATAATACTGAAAAAAATAAATGTTATTGCAATAAAGATCCTCAAAGGACAACAACTTTTGTACTGTAGTTCAAAGGGCTGTAACACAGCTGGTTAGTTCATTTTGTTTATAATGCCAATTCATGCGTCCTTTTATTCACTAAGGCAGAAATTGAGAAATACCTCTGATCTGAATGACAAATATGTTTAGAGAGAGTCAACTGTAC